CTTACACCAGAGACTCTGCTTGATACTCAGACAAAACAAAGCCAATCTCTTTAAACTGAACTCATATCTACAGCAAACATAATTACATTCTCCTTACTATATAGTAGTCGCATCACATGGGACAAGGGGCACTGATTCACTTCTTCAATTCATTGTTGCTGTCTGTGCATTTTTCAACCCTCAGCAAATCTATAATTTGGTGCTTAGGGAATGTCTGATACAAGATAGTAATAAAATTTATGAAATTAGACTTAGCATTAAGACTAACAGAGGGTAGGTTGCAATAATATAGGGCTAAAACCACTTTCTCCAGCCGAGCATAGTGAATCCTTCTTCAGATTAGTTGAAGATCCATGAATCCTAGATGGCTTCTGTACAGTGCTGTATTTGGATTCCTGTCCAAACGTCTTAAGTGCTGGCTTTCATTATAAGCAAGTTGTACACCTGCAGCCCTAACATCGCTTCATCGAATAATGTCCTAGGTATTGTTTCACGATTGCAATTTTGACATGGCCTGTTCTTCTGTGAAAGTGAAAGAGCAGATTTAGACTTGCAGTACATTCATCACTTCATGGACCAATCTTAGTGCTTTGATAGCCTTCACTTTAACATTAAATGCTTGATGTAGACTTGAAGTATTTACATCAATTCATGGACCCATCTTAGTGCTTTGATAGACTTAACTTTAACACTAAATGCTTGATGTAGACTTGAAGTATTTACATCAATTCATGGACCCATCCCAGTGCTTTGATAGACTCAACTTTAACACTAAATGCTTGATGTAGACTTGAAGTATTTACATCACTTCATGGACCAATCTTAGTGCTTTGATAGACTTAACTTTAACACTAAATGCTTGATGTAGACTTGAAGTATTTACATCAATTCATGGACCCATCCCAGTGCTTTGATAGACTCAACTTTAACACTAAATGCTTGATGTAGACTTGAAGTATTTACATCACTTCATGGACCAATCTTAGTGCTTTGATAGCTTGAACTTTAATACTAAATGCTTAATGTAGACTTGAAGTATTTACATGACTTCATGGAACCAATCTTAGTGCTTTGATAGACTTAACTTTCCAACCATATGTACCATGTATGACATGAGCCTTCAGTGTGTAGAGACCCAGTCAACACGCGTGTTATAAAGACATCATAAAGTCGTCAAACTGAGTGTTCTTCTTGGGTGATCACAAATCCAATCACCATCCCATCTCATCTCTAAAAAACACCCAATTCCCATATAAATCACTTATCAAGCAAACAAGGAGCACCGAGGCATTATGAAACATGTACATTCCAATACTTGTTGGAGAATTCTGACACATTCCATTGCTAATTTCTCTTCCACGAATCTGAGTATTTGGATGCTGTTTTAGATACTTGTCTGTAGTGTTCAGGCAAAAGTACACTGTCTGCAAAAGAATCACATCTGCAATCACAATCATACTGCGTGACAGGACAGTCAAGGGTTGCCCATCCTTCATGATGATTAACCCAGACAATATATAAAGCGTATGTTGTTTAACGCCACACTCAGCATTATTCCAGCTATATGAGTCATGGTGTGAATAACCGAGTCTGGACCAGACAAGGCAATGACTGATATTGTGGCTAATGATCTATGTCATCAAGGTACAATCACCTGTATTCAAAGAACTTACCCAACCTGATGACTTCATCCAGTCGCCTATTATGACCTGCATAAGATGCAAGGGACCTATTCCAACCCAAATACCCATTGGAAAATGGAAAGTGTTTGAAGCATGTGGGTCCTTGGGTCATGGGGGATTCTGGTCATAGAAGATTAATCTAAAGACCTACCATTTTTTTCATCATAATCACTCTAAGCCCTTTGATTTCATCTGAGATTTCAAATAATGTATGAAAATCCTCAGTAGACTTTGGTGGTCATTAAATCTCCATTTAGTACCCAGACATTCAGGTACTGGAGTGAGTGAATGAGTTTGGTTTTACGATGCTTTTAACAATATTCCAGCAATATCACGGAGGGGGACACCAGAAATGGGCTTCACACAATGTCATTGTACCCATGTCGTGAATCGAACCTGCGTCTTTGGCATGACAAGCAAACACTTTAACCACTAGGCTACCTGACCGCCCCCTCCAGGTACTGCAGACATTGCATTGGAATCAAGGGCAGATCCAGCATATTTAAAAGGGAGGGGTCCAAAATAATAAAGTTTTCATCTCACAGATAATTTTACATTTGGTTTTCAAAAGAGGGGATGGTGGATCTGGATCCCCTGCCCCACAACCTCCCCCCCCCCCAAACCCCCCCACAAAGGAAGTTTATTAGTCTTCTCATACATATTATCCTGGACCTACCTTTGGATGTGCGCCTTATCATATAGCGTTTTGATGGAAACCTAGAGAGACTAATTGAAAAGTGAAAACAACAGTCATGCAAGGATGGCTTAATAATTTGTCTGCATTTTTTAACCATATGGTGCCTCCAGGTTAAATAAAGTGAGGGAGTACAGTTTGCGGCAGAGGACACCAGGAACAGGCTTCACACATGGCATCCATGTGGGGAATCAAACCCACGCCTTTGGCATGTCAGGTGAACACTATAACCTCTACATTACCCCACCTCCGACAGATTTAAGATCACAATAAGGGTGAATCTGTAATTCAGACCTGTTATCATAGAATGGAATGACACAACATTATACAGCTGGTCCAACCATCTACCTGAGTGTTTTCAGGAATAGGGCCATGTAATAACCTATATATAAAGTTATCGTTTTGCCAAAGGTCAGGTGAAATGAGGTTTAACGTCACCTCCAAGATTATTGCACTTCTATAGCAATGTACTTTTTTTCTGCAGAATTATTTTTATTGCAAATGTAGGGGTTGTGTATGTGCTGGCTTCATTTCTATTTGCTTTATGGACGGGGTGTATAAATTAACGTCGATTTTAAAGTCCTGTACAGGAGGGGTCACCTTATACATGGGGGGGGGGGGGGGGGGCACTTTACAGACGGCAATATTATATTCCTCTAACAGACATGGATCTGGAGGTTAGGATTTCTTTTTTTCAGTATTAATCATGGCAAATAGGTACATATATAAAAATACTTCTGGTCACAAGTGGAATGATGGATTGTTTGTGGTAACAGGAAAAAACAGGTACTTGGGGATGGGGATGGGGCATTTGTTAGAGGTTGTGGCTGCAACATAATATGCTACGTTTAAATCACCAGCTCTGATTGACACAACTCCCTAACCAATCACACATCAGTAGCAAGTGCCAGTCACATTCAAAGCTAGACAAAGCAGCTTTAAATGTTGATGGATGAGAAACAAATCACCAATCTTCCAGTGATAGCGACAGACCTAAATCTGTCTGTAGTGTCAGTGTTTATGGAAATCAACTGTACATACATGCAAACCCTTGCTTATCAAACTCTGGGCTTGGTCTAACAGTAAATGTTAGCAGTTTCAGACTGAGTAGGGCATGTGTTGGTTAAACAATATAATAACCATCTTGTAGCCCATTTACATAATTACAACATCATAACAGTTAATGATGGTAACAACTTCAGAATCACCATATTGCATACATCCATTACACGATGGTATTATTGTTAGGCCTATGGGGGATAGCAGGGTGGATCACGTTTTGAAATCTTAATTAACTTGTGGGTGTCAAGTCAGACATACCAGGATGGCACTGGATGCTAATTCTGATAAATCTGTCTGCATTTGAATAAGACAAAGGTATCAAAGGGCAAAGTGCCAAACCCCTTGAGTATACACAAGAAACACATAGTGCTGTCCAACTTCTAACTCTCACAATGAAGGAATGTGTCTGAACAATGATACATGTGACTACTATATCTCTAAAATAGACATCTGTGCCACATAACGTTTGTCACTAGGGCTCATCACACATGCAACACATTCCTTCAGTTGCTTCTAGTCAACATTAATATGTTAAATGCAAATATGTATTGATCACTGATTAGGACTCCTCATAAAAAAATGCTAAAATACCAGAAACTTTTGTAAACCCCAATTTTTAAACTGCCACAATTAGATGGTAGTTCCTAATTGTTTGTAAACTTTGAATTGGAAATAAATCATTTGAAAAGGATATCCACTGAAAAATTTGAGTCAATAAAATGACTGATGTCAAAACAATCTGAGTAGATATTTATTGTCATACATATAAATAATCATGGCAAATCAATACATCCACAAATCAAGCTCAAAACATATTCACTGTTAAAGCAGTTGTTTTCAACCCCACAGTATTCAGAGTAAACTACACCAAACTGTTGTAGCATTGCTTGTTCTGAGGTCCTACAAATGGATTTAAAGTAGGAAATGATTGCTGCATAAAAGGTTTTATGAAGAAGCGTCACCTGACATTACATATATCGCACCATATTCACAGCCTTCAATTTCCTGTTGGCTTTTATTCCTTTCTCACCAGGATTATACCGTTAAGTGCTGTAGAAAGATTGTCAGCTGAGAAAGATGAAAATCATTTCGGTCCTCCATGCTGACAATCGCTTGTCTACACAAATGAACCCGTCAATATTTTTATGCTAGGATATCAGTTTGTCTGGGGTGGAACACACTTGGGCTATTGTGGAGACGCTGAAACAGTACAGAAATAATCCTTGTCACCAATCAAGGCGAGACGGTCGTCAACAGAAATATGAGCATGTAAAATGCGTGTTGAGTTGTGGTGTTGCCCGCCAATGCAACAACAACTTTCAAACTTTTCAGACACAACAGCCAGTTAATAAATTATGTCAATGTAATCATCTCTTGTAATGTATACCATGGGTCATTAAATCATAAAGTCACCATGGAGCTTGATGTCGACTCGCCATCGTTCACATGTTATGATTTGGGTGTCTCTCTCTGACACTACATAAGCAACGTCGGAGAGAATCAGAAACGACAATACTGTATATTGATTGATCTCAACTGTCACAAATTCCCAAAACACTTACCAGCGCTTGTCAACGTTGTCGTAATCCAAAAACTGGTCTTTTCACTCAACGAACACTCGCATGATTACCGTGGGCGCTGTGACTTGTGAAAACACAGCGTGCATGAGACAACGGCACTTACAAATATGTCTACACGTTGTTTCCGAGCTTTTAGTGGAACCACGTGTTAATAGAGTATCACCGAGCCACGAAGAAAACAGAATGCCTGCTTGGCATGGCGGTGCTTGCCCAACGGTTTAGTTAACTCTTTGATAGTTCGTTTAACTCGTGCTAGACCGATCACAAATCTATCAGAGGCAATTTCGAGAAGCAGCGAGACCTAATAGCTCTCCCAGGTTCTTGTGGTTAGATGGTCAGCTACTGGCGTAACCTTTCTCCGCACAATTGATTTTAAAGTTAAAATGTTAGGTTTTCAAAAATCTAACCCACTTTCGTTTCAATTTCGCATGACACAGACGAGTTCTTGGAGGAATTGGCCTGTGAGGTTCGCTGAAGGTTACGTTAGTCAATGCCTTCTCGGAAATAGACAACTGAACGATAACTGAACGTTATTGATGAACGATAACGTGTTTTAAAATAATTCGAGACTTTGTTGTACGTTTCTGCCTCTCTATCGCGGGATAAATTTCAAACAGCTGTTATATTTGTATTTAACGGTTGAGTCGCTGGTTGCTTGCCCCTGATTGCTGTGTTCATTAAAACATGTATATGCCCAGGAAGCCTAGGACAATTTCAGCTGAGCTGTGTCGTTTCTCGTACAGTTAAACACTAATGTTTGCATCCTGCTTGCTATGCGTCATTGTGCAAAAAAACTATTCATATTTGAATTTATGAACAATTGATAATGGATAGATTACATTTCTAAGGGGTCAAGTGGATGGAGCGTCTGCCTAGAGAGTGGAAGGTCGGATGTTCGATCGCCGGTCGGGTACGTCATACCAAAATACGTTAAAAGATTATCTTTGTTGTTACCGTGCCTGGCGCTCGGTATTAGGTGATGAGACAAGGATTGTGTCGCTCGGAGACAATTTAATAACACTGGCACTGGTCCGGTATTAGTACAAGATCGCACACAAACGACAACACACACACACACACACACACACACACACACACATACAAACACACACGTCGCAAAATATGTGCAATAATTTTGAACGCGACGTTAAACCCCATTTCACCTCGCCTCGTATTTTTAAGAGACGATACAATTACATAAACACCAAAAATAATTATGCAGGTATGCCCAAGGGAAAATAATGTGATGATGTTGATGCCGACACTTTATCCCTTTCTACATAAGTTATTTTCAACATTTACGATACAAAAAACTGTCGACCGGTGATTTATGCCCAAAACGGAATCTGAATAAATATTTAATTGGGAAAGAAAATACCACAACGGTTCAAATGACAAAACATTGACATATCCTGTGTTTTTTAATGCGTTCGATGCATCACTGAAGGTTCTTCTCATTTCAGAGTGAATGTGGGGAATCGAATTCAACCGATATATATGATGTGACACGGGCAGCCTAGAAGTCTAAGGAGCGCCTCCGTGGTCTAGTGGTAGAGCGTCCGCCCGGAGAGCGAAAGGTCCGGGGTTCGATCCCCGGCCGCGTCATTCTAAAAGACGTTAAAAGATTATACTTGTCGTTTCTCTGCCTGGCGCAAGGGATTAAGGGGCTAAAACAGGGACTGTTCGGATCGGAGCCAGTTTACTGTGTCTGAGTGGGGCATTCATGTTAAACTGCTGCATGATATCCCAGTAGGCCAGCAGTGTAAAATCGGCATCAGTCCGGACTAGTACAAGCACACATACACACACACACACACACACACACACACACACGTGCATGCACGTCGCTATATGCTTCCAATAATCTTGGACGCGATATGAAAACCCCATTTCACATCAGCAGAAGTCTAAGGTGTCGTAATTTGTTTGTTTGTTTGTCTGTTGTTTATCGCCGGACTCAGCAATATTCCAGCTAGATGACGGCGGTCTGTAAATAATCGAGACCAGACAATCAAGTGATTGACATCATGAGCATCGATCTTCGCAATTGGGATTCGATGACATGCAGCGAGCCTGACCACCCGACCCCTGTACTCGCCCGCCTCTTACAACAAGCATAGTCGCCTTTACAAGCATGGGTTGCTGAAGACCTATTCTACCCCGGATCTTCACTGGTCAGGTATCGTAATACTCTGTGCAGAGTTGCGGCCCTTAGATGTGCCAGAATTATGAGTCTTGGTTCGAATCTCAGATACGCCCTGTTAATGGTTCTAGCTTCGTCAACCCCATAGCTGCTCTCACCAATGGGACACAATAGACTACTAAGACATGCTTCACTTCCATCTTACCTCCCACATTAATCTGAAATGCCGCAATATAAGTAAATTCGACGTAAAACCCAACTCACTCACTCACTCACTCGTGTGTGTCACAATGACCACGGCAACCAAATTGAATTGAGGTACGTGAGGTGTATACCTACATCTGTGCCATACACGTTAATTCTGTCACAACTGCGTAAAAAAGCACCAGTTTCTCATTACTGATCAACTGCGCCAGTCCTTCTTATACAACATACCGTTTTGGGTATCCGGTCACAAGACCAACCGTTGATAGCTAGTCTTTTACAACAAGACGCATCGTCGTTGTCCACGACGCAAGAAATCCCAACGTGGGCGACATGTCCAACTATGACGCCGTGCGAGTTTTACAGCCGTAACTTTAAAAAAAATGACAGAATGATTATAGACTTTGCACGGTAATATAAGATCATGGATATAGAGAATCAGCAAGACACTCTTTACTTTGCGTGTCAACATCGCCTTGCAATGAAAGCATGTAAGGGAGGCTTTTGAAAATTCTTTTCAGCGTAAAATGTTAATTAGACTAGGACATGTTATCGATACTTGGATCTCTACTTGTCTCGAGCAAGTCTGTTTAAGATTACCGAAGTGACATACGAAAGTCAATATGAAGTCTTCGGCCAGGGACTAAATATCGAACTTTTACCGGGATGGTACTCCGTGAAATCGATCAAATGTGGTTCTTGAAATATGGTTTTGGCACCTGTGTTACCATGGCAACGTGACATTTTGAGAGCCGAGACGTAAATTGTTCTATCTGCTGGTGCCTGTATTACTGAACACGTATTTAACCACAGCAAATGGTGAGGTGAGGTGAAATGGTGTTTAACGTAGCGTCCAAGATTATTGCACTTATATCACGACGTGTGTGTTTGTGTTTGTGTGTGTGTGTGTTTGTGTGTGTGTGTGTGTGTGTGTGTGTGTGTGTGTGTGTTTTGTACTAGTCCGGACTGATGCCGATTTATAGTGCTAGCCCGAGGATATACTATGTCGCAGTTAAACATGAATATCCCTCTAAGACACAGTGTATGGACTCCGAGCCGACCAGTCCTTGTTTTAGCCCCTTAATGCCGAGCGCCAGGCAGGGTAACAACAAGTACCATCTTTTAACGTCTTTTCGAACCACTGACCTTCCACTCTCCGGGCGGACTGGACCGTGGAGGCGGTCTTATAGCGAATGGACATTTTGATCACAATGTAACGGTAGCTATCTGTTACTGGATGTTTTGGGTGTCGGTTTGATTCGCCCCGACTGTTTTCACGAAGAGTTCAACTCATATCAATGTACAACCATTACCTTCGGCTAATAGATGTGAAGGATGACAGATGACTCTCTGCCGCCTTCATTAAAGATAAAAACTGAACTGATGGACCTCTTCAATAAATCTTTTCCCTGATCTGGCTCACAATACCATCTTTTCTGGAAAATTTAACGAGACTGCATAAAAAGTCCATATACCTCATTGAAACTGACCAAGTCCCATCCACTTAACCACATAAGTTTAGACGCCTCGGGAAATTAGGAGACAAATTCGAAATTAAACCATATCTGAAAGCAACCACCTCATAAGAGCACCGCTAAGCAGTTACAAGGCTAAGACTGAGTGCTCCGGACCTTCACATTGGGAGAGGAAGATACTTTAACACTCCAGCAGAAAGAATATGTACCTTCTGTAATATTAATGAAATAGAAGACGAGGAACACTTTCTGTTGCAATACCCTGTCTACAACAATGTGAAACTGGAACTTAAATCACCACCCGCCTTAGCTGTGCACCCAGTATCACTCAAAATGGTACTAAATCCACTAGCGCCTCTGCAAAAATTATCTCATATTTCATTTACAAAATCTTCATGTGAAGAAAATATGCATCTCTCCTCTAGACCTTAAAAATATTTGTATTCCATTGTGTATGTCAATGTTTATAGCTTTTCATTATAACTAGTCAATTTCATGCTTTGTACTCAGACCCTGTGGGTGTTTATGTGCAATAAATCTTCTTCTTCTTAGTTGATTGGTCAGTTCAGATTCAGTTTGAATCCTTAAGAGTTCCCAGGGGTTCACGCTAAGGCAAAGGCTGGCTAAGACAGTGATAGGATGCAGCTTACATGCACATTCTGCCCTGGCCGATTGAGTGTTAACTAGGCCAAGCTTTCTACACAATCATTCCACGTGATATTGAATCCTATACTCAACTGCTCGGAGTGTTTTGTTGTTTTTTAACACCGCGTTCAGCAAAATATTCAGCTGCTCGAGTGTTTGGTTGTTGTTTAACGCCTCGCTCCGAATTATTCCGGCTTTATGGCGGCGGTCTGTAGAGTGCCGAGTTTGGACCAGACAGTCCAGTGATTGATATCATGAGCATCGATCTAAACTGGCATACGATGACATGCATCAAGCAAGCCAGCGACTCTGATCACCCGATCCCGTTAGTCGCTTCTTACGACATGCATGGTTTGCTGAAGACCAATTCTAACCTGGATATTCACAGGTTACTGGTAGAGTGAGTGGGTTGGGTTTAACGCCGCTTTGTATTTTAGTTATATCATGGCGTGACAGTCGTAGAGGAGGTCTTTCCTCTGTTTTCAAGTCATTAGTCTTGAACAATACAAGGGTTGGTCATATAAGTTGGCCTATATCGTTTGTTTCCTTCATGGACTAGCCAACCCTTAAGAGAGGGATAAACGTAGCTGGACCGCGTTTGGCTGGATGTGTTAGCTAACTACAATATTGACATTAACCAAATTAACACAAACATGCGAATGTCCTACATGGGGCCAGAGGCGGGTCGAGGATTTTGATTTGTTTGTAGTTTACTGCCGCACTCGGCAATGTTCCAGCTACATGACGACGGTCTGTAAATAATCGAGTCTGGTCCCGATAATTCAGTGATTGATAATGTGGTGAGCACATAATACCCAAGTCACAAGCTGACTTGGCCGAGGGCGCGGTTACATCATGTACACTTGT